AGGTCGATGATCTCCTTTGTTCCTGAGCGATCGAGAGAAAGCCATGGGAGCTAACAAGCACAATTATGTTGGGACAGCTCGATACAAAAATGGAACATCCCTCAAGCAGTCGAAGACTCCCTCAGCTTTCCTCTTGATCTGGCTGGGGGCGTCCTTTTTGTCAAAGGTCACGTGAAGGTCGCGATGATCCGGCATGTCTGGTCGCCAGCCGAACTTCATGGTTGTCCGCAGCGGGAGGGAAACCACGCTGGGGTGCCTTGGAGCGCCTCCCACTGCGCTGCTGGAAGCGCTGCTGGTGTTCTTGAAGCCCTCCACCCAGTTGATGGCCCAGAAGTCGGAGGCAAGCGCCGGGTGGCACATGTACTCGTAAGGCATGTAGAAGTAACCCTTGTCGCCCCACCTGGCCCACGGTCACATGCTCTGCCGAAACAAATGTCATACGCGGGTTTGGCTGCGCAAGCTCATGCGAAGCTACGACCTTTACTTTCGAACTCAGTCAATTCCTGTCTCTGACTCGTGGTGTGATATGGTCGGCATTTTTGGTGTCCATCTCGCCTACATCATATGCAGAATCAACCCCTGAACTTGGTTCATCATGAAAGCCAAGCAATGATTTCAACACAACCCTTTTTTTGGTGAAGCCAGTGAGGCATGGTTATGACATGCTCATTCCAGATGGAATCTTCTCCTGATGGTCCAACAGTCCAACATATTCATCCCGATCTGTATTTTGAACGCTGCAAAATCTCAACTGCTCCGTGCCCCGAACCCCTCTACAATGAGAAGCTCTTCATGCATCAATCTGTCATTGCCAATGACAGAAACTATCTTCGACAATCCAAATCGGGTCAAATTGGGGACTGTAAGTGTTGGCTTCTTTTTCTTCTTTCATGGTGGTTCAGAAAGCAGGAGGATGGATGTAGCACAAAGGGGTTGCTTAAGTAGGGGTTGGGAAGCTCAAGGAGGGCTTGGGAAGCTCTTCACCCAATGATGCTGACCCAAAAAATTAAGGCTGTTCCAGAGGACATTGATGGCGGAGTACACGGACGTACACGCAAACTGTGTTACCGGATGACATGTCTTGCTGTTGTTGTAAATTCATTTCTTCGAATAAGCTCGCGCGAATCTACATTAACCCTATGAGCTGTGTGAGGCCTCTAGGTTCCTTCCAAAAGGCTAGGAGAACCGGAACAATAAGATCCTAAAGGTGCATGCCTAACTAGGGATGTTACATTTGATTTGTAAGGTACCTTAAAACATCCTCAACGACTTTTGGGCTCTACCAACACTGCGCACCAATAGCTCTGAGTTGTACGCCCAGCACCCGAAACCCTATGGTGCTGGAGTTGAAAATCAGGGAGTGGGACCTGTCCCTTCTACAGAGCACCTACTCCAAGAGAGCTTGTCTGAAGGAGTGCTTGTTTAGAGCCAAGTCTGCGAAAGATTTGTGTGGAAAACTGTATGTAATGTTACGGCAGGTCTTGAAATTCGTCGCACACTGATGGGGCGAGGTTCCGTCACGCAAATCTAAAGTCAACCTGCGACATACTTGCACGCTTGGGGCGATCCTCATGACCCGCTGCAACAACCGCGCGGCCCCTCATCTTGTTTGCCTAACTTTTGCATCCACTCAAAATGGAATTGCCATGACATTAGCGCTGCCCTTCAAGGCACCAACGATAGCAGACCTTTGTAAAGCCTGAGTCTGAACAATGGGCAAGATCAACCTGCTTGGTGACGTGCTTTCATAGCGAGAGGAGGACATGACCTCTACCGTCCATGGACACGATCAAATGGGTTCTCGAGCTTTACATGAGCCCTGGACTAAAACTGTAGTATATCCCTTAATAGGTCCCCCCCAAAACCCTATATCGTTGCCCTATAGGTCCCCCCAACCTAAATTTAGTCCGTAGCTCACATGGTACTTGGTCAAAACCCATGGTCCGCTTTTTTTGCATCCCGCGGAAACACGGCCCAGAAGGTGCCTAGACGAGAACCTTAATTTTGACAACCTTCTATGTGGGTGGTTGTCAAAATTATGGTCCCCTTTTTGGGTATCCTATATATTAGGTGCCCTATTATAATAGGGAGCCAAAAAAGGACCACAATTTTGACAACCTTCTTTGGGGACACTCTGCATGCTCCTGATTTCACCTCCACTACGGTTCTTAACGCCGTGGCATTCAGGAAACCATCATGACAGAGGCTGTGGGATGGATGCTACGTCCCGCAGAATCGGTTCGAAGTTTCCTTTGCAACTGACACACTAATTATGACAAGCCCCAAAGAAGTAGAGCCCGAAGCAAAGTAAACGATCAACATATAAGCCCTATATAAACCTCTACATGAGCCATGGTCTAAACTCCAAGTATCCCCTTTAGTAACCCCTATAGTAGTCCTCGATATAATGCGCCTTTATAGAGCTTAAATTATACTATAGCTCATATAATTGCCTCGGGTTCAAACGGTTCAAAGGCTTCAGGATTTACTATCCTCCGGACCGCAGCAAGCAACCCCCTGTAGCTCCTCTTTGGGTTTAGGAGTGTTATTATGCTCCTTTACCAAAATCCAATGACAATGAAGGTTTGGCGTTTAGGGTATAGGGGTGTAGGGTTTCGAAACCAACTAGGAACTAAATCGGAGCTTCTGTCACTTGGGTACTTTAATGAGTTTAGGGTTTAGGGCTTAGGGACAATACATAGAGCTTCATGCAATTGTAATATTCGTATTATCTAGTGTCGACAAATCACGACCTAGTTTGAAGCCCAAAACCTAAACCCATTCCATGAAGCCCTAAACTCTATACCTACACCCAAACCCGAAACCGTATTCCCTATACAAACGTTTGCTTGTTTTTGAGTGCTCCTGCCAATCCTTACCATGACTAGGTACGCGGTTTAGGGTTTCTAGTCCCCTGCAAGTAGACAGAATAGGGCTTGGGGTGTAGTATAGTAAGATCCCCAAATACCCCACATTCTATCTACTTAAGGGGGACTATAACCCTAAACCCTAAACCCTATGTTCTCTACTGAAGGGACTATAGGATGAGGCAGGTGCCCTGGAAACCCAGAACAGGAACTAGCGGCTTTATGGCCCAAAGTAAGAAAAACCTTTGGAAGTCCCCCTTAAATAGATAGAATAGGGTTTGGGGTTTAGGGTTTAGGGTGGGGTGGCTTGAAGCCTTTGGGCTGTACTGCTGTGCATTCTCAGATATGCTCTGGATCCCTACACCCTGAACCCTAAAAACCTATGGTAAAGTGGGGGAAAATCTTCCACATTGTCCATCTCAGTTGGCATTGCAAGCAAGCCAACCCAACCCCAGGAGTGCCGAACATTTGGGGTTATATTGGGGTCATGTAGGGATGCTGGAAAAGAAAATAGAAACTAGTATAGAAAAGTGCGGTTATACAGGGGAAATGGAAATAAAATGGAAACTACTATAAGATATTGGGGTTATATGGGGATACTGGAAAAGAAAACGGAAACTACTATATCATATACGGTTATATTGGGGGTTATATGGCCAGGGCACCCCTCGCCCCAGGAGTTCCGGACGATAAAGCACTGCTTGAAGTCGTCGTAGCCCACGGCGCACACGGCATGGCCACCCAGCTGCTGGTCAGTGGGCTGGGGCATCACCATGTTGCCGGTCGTGGCAACCTCCATAGTCTGGAAGCTCGACAGGACCGCAA